AATGCACAGCATGAATAATGTATTAAATGCTACAGGGGGAGGGTTAGAAAAATTAGTGTTAGTTTGTTGAAATAAGTAAGCTATTATGTCATAATCTGTATTTTAGTTAATCTTGCCAAAAGGTTTGCTTGAAAGTTTTAAAAAAATCAGGTGATATAATGACTGTATTGATAAATAATGTTATGAAGGGGGAAAATGCATACTCCAAAAATTGTCATTGTGATCTTAGTGGATTACATTTTTTAGAAATGCTTGTTGTAAAGCCATGTTATTGCCTGCTTCTGTAAATAGGGTATTTTGTTATATATAAAAAAAGCTTCTCTGTGTACCTAGAAAGTCTATATAGGTATTCAGTGTTTGGTTTCTTTTTTGTATAGTAATTTTTCAAAGACCATAAATTCTGAATATCTTGTTTCTTTGCACCACTACAATTTTATGATAAATATTTTATCAAACAGAATGTATTTGTATCTTTAAAAAAAATCGTTTTGTTAGTTTGCTGCTTAGTGTTTCTCACATGTGGGCATTTGTAAAATTTAGATTAAAACAGTAATGAAATTACTTTCTGAAATGTTGGCAGCCACTAGTACCAGGACACTATCATTATTGTGATTAAAAAAGTATTAAGAGTTGAATTTATTTTGAAACTAAACAAACTTATAAGGTAATTACCTTGTGCTTAAAATATTTGATATTGTAATTTTGTTGAGAATAATTATAATACTTTTTAGTCATTGAAACTTACATTTTAAATTTTTTTTCTTGTGTTACAAAAATAAATTTGTTCCAAATCCAAAATATATTTAAATGACAGAAAATATTATACAGGAGTTTGTGCTGGATAATTTTGAGAATAAAAGTGTATATTTGTTGATGTAAAATCTAATGAGAAGCAAGAAGCAGCTAAACTGATAGTTAGTTAGAATGTCTATTGTGTCATGTACAAACTGTAACTTGTTTTATTTTTAAATAAACATTCATCACATTGAGTTCGTTTTTTTTGGTATATGATCTTGCATGAAATTAGTCATAAAAACTTAGTGTATGAAGTATATTGAAAACAGCCAAAGAGTAAAGATTTTTCTTTAAATGATACTGATATTGAACTTTTGGTGAATTGGTCAATCACTGTAATAATTCTTGAAATAGCACATTGATGAAATTATACGTATGGAAGAAAAAAAAAGGACAATTAACTCAGTTCTTTAGTGAACATTTATTTGTCAAAATTGAGGGAAACAGGTAAAATAGAATACCACACTACAAAATGAGACTAGGTTATATAAATATGAAAACCAAACCAATGTTACTGATAGTCTTCTCTCCCTCACACAAAAAAACTATCTCATTGTTCATTTGCCCTCTAAGCATTGCTCTAAATAAATTTTCATGTTCAGTGCACCAGTCTATATACCCCATCAATTTTGTGCCATTTCTGAACATGTGCACCATGATTCCATTCCATTTTTACTCAACTATTTTAAAACAGACCCATACTTCTGGTTATGTAAAATTTCTAAAAGTGTTTAGAGATCATTCTTATGACCTTGTGGAGTTATAGTAGCATATTAAAACTCTACTACAGTACAGCCAATTAGTTTTATTACTTCAAAGAAATATGATGCTTCATTCTGGAATAAGAAAAAATTAATTGAACAAGGACCAAAAAAAAAGAACTTTTGATTAATATACTTCAAATCAACTAGGTTAAAATGCTACTAGTACAAGTTGCTTTCAAAAGTTTTATGGTGCATATAGGTTATAATGTTTAAAGGACAAATCTTAGTAGGTTATGAAATCTCAAACTGTACCTACTCTACAGCTCTTAAAAAAACCAAAAACAAAGTATTTCTGTGGTAGACAAAAGACATTAAAGTTACTTATTTTTTGATAAGCTACAGCTGAAACTGGCATGTTTACCACATTAAGAGAGAAATTACAGTTTAACTATACATGTATTACTATGTTTGGGTATGCTTCAAGTTTTATTTTTACTGCAATCGTGTCAAATAAAACTTAAAAGAACTTAAACTATTTTTAGAAAAATCAAATGAATGGTATTTGGATGTGTAACTGTCGAAATAAGCTATAAAACAAAAGAAATTCATTCAATTTAAATTTTATTTGCTTAAAAATAAGTCGACTCGTATTACATGAGAAAAAGTATTCCTCACTGGATCTGTGAACCACAACTGATATTAGGAATCTTCTTTTCTAAGTAGAAGGCTGACAGATATGAACAATAAAATAAATTTGTGTACTTGACACAATGCTCGATTGAATTCACGCTAGTTAAGCAACAAAAATAATTTATTTGAGGTTAAATTAACTTGTGGTAACTGTTCCAGTAATCCCTGTATCCCAAAACTATAATACATAATTTCCTTGCATGTTACCTCAGAACTGATATCTAACCATGCTCCACTAAGCTGGAGACAATCTAAAATGCATTTTCAGAACTCACTTTAAAAATCGTTATGTTTTTCTTATAGCTATTCATGCCTGAAATGGAATCCCTTTTAACAACATAAACAAATAGGGCTCTCTCTCCAGTCAAGGTCAATTAAATTAAAACTTGTTTTGGATAAGACATTATGACATGGATCTAAAAGCTGGCAAAGCTAATCCCTGTCTACATGCACCATTATCCCGAGGACACATCTATACAAGAGTTGGTTGTAGCCAAAATGTATTTTATTTTTATGAAGTGAAGGAGTGTAATTAAGCAGACATAAATTACCATGTTCATTTATAAGATAACTTCAGTACACTTTCAACAATTTCAAAAACTAAAGATTATAAAGGAAGTGCAAGAATCAGACACAAGTGAATAATAGACAAAGCAGTAAGAAGAAAGTTACTATGACTAGCTATAGCACAAAGTACCTAAACATGCAAGCAGATAAGATAGTCATCAGCCCCTAGCAGGAAATCACATAGTTATCCTAATTCAGTTACAAAATATAAAAGTACCTCTAGTACTTAACATTGCAAAAAGTAAAACAAACATCAAGTTCATTACAGTGTATGGTGCCTCATCTAGCAAAGCATGGTAACAGTAAGCCTCATAATAGTTCTGATTATGTTATTAGCTGTGCCAATACTGATTAGCAGTGAAAAGAAAAAGCACAATAGCATTTTAACTTGGGACAAAACATCTGGCTTGCATCTCAATTTGCGAATCGAAACAACCCCAGTTGGAAATCATTTTCCTCTTTGCTTAGCATAATGTGCGAATCATTCCTTTCTCTTGTACATTGTCTTCGAGACCACAAATACAGTGAAAGTGCCAAATGTTTCAGTTTGATATACCAAAGCTGATATTCATTTCTTGGAAATTCCTGCCAAGTTGCACATAGAGTATTTTCACACTGTCATGCACATATCAAATACACATTTAGCACTGAGCTGGTTACGAACTCTCTCAATACAGACTCGGTCCCAAGGGCTGACCATGTGACCATTTTTACTTGTATGTAGTATTAATACTCTTATCTTTTAATACAGTATGTGTATCTTCACAAAATTTGGCAGACTTTTAGTAAACATTACACGTCATTTGGACACACAAAAAAATCTGTTTTTCAATGAAGTATTTTTACTAAAGATTTGTAAGTGAATATATCAAATCTTTTTTGACCACACGGAATGCAAATGATCTTCATGTTAAGATTAAAAATACTTTTCTTTACCTCAAATGTCATTTGAGTAATCTCTAAAATCTCCTAAATACATTTAAAATGTTTTTTCAGTAAATCCTTGTATCTTATCTGTTATTTTCTCTACGCTAACTCTATACAAGACTGAACAAATTCATCAACCTCGTGACCACTAAAAAAAATCGAAATAAGTCTAAATTATATTTATTTTCTTTCTAGAATAACTTCAAATTGTAACAAGAAACTACATTTGTTTATCCTAAGTAGCTTTAAACTCATAACAGCATACATCTATTTATACTCAACTTTTATTGCCCTTTGAACTGTGTCTAACTACTACTTCTACTTCTACCATTCGCACCATTATAATATACGTTGTAAATCACTTGGGGAACATGCGGCTCACATTATGTTATCAAATTACATTACCCATGAACTACTTAAAGGTGCTTGTGTGCACACCTTGTGAAAATATATTTTATTATCATTATTATTTATTTTACATAAACTAACCTAAAAAATTTCCTATTTTAAAATTTTAGTTACTTTTATAAAAATAAATAGAGAATAAACATGAAAAAACAATAAATAAACTACTTACCTGGGCCTTTTTTGCTGTCAGTTGTCGATAACACTTAATCCTACTTTTTTATATTAATGGTAGTAGTGCACTAAATAATTTTAATTTAATTAAATAATGCACCAAAGAACATAGAATAAAAACATGCTAAAAGCAGACAATGTCCCATAACTATCACAAATTTTCTGGCATTCTAACTACGTTACAATAGCTGTCACAAATTCATCCAATTTAGTTGATGTGTTTCCAGTGGGAATGAAGCTTATACTGAAAGAGTTGGTGTGGCAAGAGGTGTCCGATTTTCTATTTGATTGCTCTGTAACCAAACAAAAATTGAAGATTAAGAAAATTATGCTTTATCTGAGCAATGACAACATTATAATCAGTAATTTACATTAAATTTCATACTTCTAAGAGGGTGGGGTGGATGATAAATAACTTAAAGAGGGGATGCCTAGCAAAAAAATGTCACATTTCCTGCACTGGGTGCAATTCAGGATCTTTTTTTTCATATTGCCTTATAAAATTAAAACTTATACACTATTAAAATATGGATAACTAGCTATGATTTTATGCTATACTAATTGGTACAACATGAACAAACAAAAAGTAGTTTCATTAAATTTTAATGTAACTCACTAAAAACCTCGAGATATGCACAGTAAAGGATGCCAATGGTGACGAGGGTATTTACTGCTGAAAATTAACTAGACATATTCTTTTTCAAAAAGCCAAGGAGATCATGCTGTTAAGAGAAGGATGAAGAGTCATAAAAAAGAAAGAAATAAACTAGATTAACTTGAAAAACGATTGGTGGCAACCTTGTTAAGTTACAATATCTTCAACTCATATCTTTCTCTGGTTAATTGATTGTTGCATTATTTTGGAACAGCTAAGGTATTTGGTATTTCTTGCAGTTTTACTTTATATACCAGGAACTATTTTGTTCATGAAATGCTACGTATGGTACAATTAAATATTGGGGTTTGAAGTAAAATAAAAGTGTTATTAAAATAAAAACATACCATTTACCTATTTTTCATTAGTGGATGTCTTTACAAAGAGTTAAGACTTTTAATGCTGGATTTAGTTGCCATAATGTGTTAAAATGGTGAATGTTAAAAAAATGCTAAGCAAATGCAATATTGATTAGCAGTTTCTGATAATCAAATCCACCAAACTATTTTGTTTCCTGTAACTATAGACACTTTCTATGTTGCATGGGCATCAGGTTGACTATGTCAGAGGACCCAACATATTTAGTTAAGATATTATTTATACTCTCAGTTGGCAGCAACAGCTCAGTGACATTCATATATGCAGAAGTCTGTGGTCCCGAGTTTGGTGGACAAAAATTCATATGTAGCAAACAAAACTAAATGGGCCAATTCACGTACGTCTTTTAATAGATGGGATCATGCAGATTTAAGATGTCTGAAAAAAAGTATGGAAACCACTGTCCTAAGTCCTCTCTTGATCCTCCACCACAGAAATTCCAGCTAAACTTGTAATCAACTCTCTGCTGATACTTTGGCTATCCATAATACTTTTCCCATGGAAACATATTCTCCACGACCATAATTTCTAGAATGCTGTGTTTCTTGCTTCAAGATACACGTAAGTTTTCTCTGGAGTTCAGCGAGAAGGTAATATTGTACTACAAGTTGTTAAGGGATCTCCTCTGCTCAGGACCAGTAATGCATGGTAGACTAACTCAATGGAGTATAATGCTGTAGTAGCAAAGCATTATCTGTATTAAGGTATGGAGTACAACAAGTATCACAAAATGATTGGAGAGTTACACACAAAAAAAGGAAAAATATTAAATTAGCAAATATTTACTTGTGAGTAACTTTACCAAATTATTTCTCATAAACAAATAACAACCAATGGGATTCCTTTATTAAAAAATAAAATAAACAAAAAAACCTAGTTACAGAAGCTAGTAAGTTGGCCAGACAAAAATATCCTTCTTACGGTTATGCCGAGTGCTATCTATCAATTACACAGTGATTATCCAAGTGATCCACAATGATCTCTCACTTCATTCTTCAACTGTATATGTTTATTGTCAGAATGTTTGTTTGTTGATAATTGCAAAGTTACACAATGGGTTATCTGTGCTGTGTACATCACAAGTATAGAAACCCAGTTTTTAGTGACATAAACCTTCAAACTTACTGCTAAGCCACTGGAAGAGTTGCCAGAAAGAACAACAGAAATTATAAATCATCACCTAGGATTTTCCACACTGTACAGCAAACTTTAAAGGTCATTGTTTACAGCCTAATTTAGTTCTTTTTTCTTTTTAATTCTAGAACTTATCTCACATAGAATATAAAAATTAAATGGCCAGCTATTCCATAGTCTTTTAAACATCTAAATTGTCAAATATTTTTCTATCTAAACTATTAACATTTTTTGAAATGAATTGTACATATTCTACAGCTGCCTAATAACCACATACAACTTTCTCAAGTGAAAAAAAAAAAATCAATGGCTAAGTTTGTAATCTGTTTTTGATAATTACTACAAAACAACAAATAAAACATCAAACTAAAATTACAGTGGAGCTGCTAGGCAAAATACAACACTACACAAAAGACTAGAAACTGTTCACGCTCTATGCTAACAAATGTATTTAATTTCAAAACAACTGTATCCTAGTATCAAATGTAATATATAAAACCATAAAGCTATCTTAGTAAATATACAAGCCCTTTACAATATACCCAATTTACAATAATATAACTGATTCTGCTATGCAAGTTTAAACAATTCACATACCAAGCAACTTCCACCATAGTTGCAACAATAAAAGATGTCACTATTTATGCATTACCATTTCTTAAACACATATAATAAATCTCAAGACAGGAAAAGTTCAAGTATCTATATTAAACATAAAATATAATTACAGTTAAGGAAAGCCTCAAACATACCTGAATATTTCCAACATTTATTGATGTAATTTGTATTTTAACTTATTAAGATTATTAATATTTTATACTATATTATTTGATGTCTCTTTCTATAGGTACATATAAAAAGAACTTTTATCACCAGTTACCTAACAACCAATTTTATCATTAAAATGATAGATCTTTCAAAAAATTACAAATGCATTTCATAGCCAGATGAATTTTTACTTACAATATAAAACTAAAAGAAATTCTTTTTACACAGCTCAAAAGTCCAGAATTTCTTCTTAAGTAAATTTCTTCATTTGAAAGAAAACAAAACAAAGAAAAACTTGCATCTTCAGGATAACCTCTTCAACAATAAACCAACACATTACCACACAGTGTTGGTAGAAAAAAAGCTATGGCTCTAAACAATTCTGAATACTTGACATTAAACTGTGTGTTCTTAGTAAATATGACTCAATATACAAAAAAGGATCATTCAAACATTACTTTTATAAGCACAAGCCAATTATGGCTCCTCTTGTGATGCTGAAGAATGCAGAGAGTCTCAATTGTTTTGAGTTAGACTGAAAAAGTTTCTGGCTGAGAGTTCAGGTCACTCCAATGAATTGGTATGGCTGAGTATAGAGTAGTAGTTACTGTAAAAATTGCAGATACCAGCAAAGGAAGAACAGGAACAGAAGTCTCCACTTCGTTCATTTTGTACCTTGTCAAAATGTTCATCACAGATCATCTACCATCATGGTTTGTCCACCTTACTAGATCAGTCACCAGCTTGTCAACACAGCTCTCATTCCTAACTCCAAAATATGCTTAATAAAGAGAGAAAGGTATTAGTATAATTTGTAATCCATTTACACATAACTCTTCTTAATACTGGTCATTAGTCATATCTTTCACGTACAATATATTATGTGATTACACAAGCAACTTATCTACTTATAACACAACTAGGACTCACTGAGTAAAATAATGATTTGGGTACACACACATATTCTTACACTCAACTACCATTAAGTTTGATAAAAGTACCAATCAATTTGACCAAAACAGATGCAGGAAATGAGAACAATCAAGTGTATACTTACTTCTTCAAGAGTCTAATGCCACCTCCCCCAATGAATCTTAAAAGAAAATCAAAAATGAGTTACTCACAGAAATACAGTAAGCAGTCTGCAACATCTAATGTGTTTTATTCTGCTGTTGAAGACACCTGAAAACAAAGGATACCAGTAATGAAAAGAACAAACTGGCCAACCTCAGTGACTGTGGCAATGTTCAGAAACATTGAAAATAATTGCTAGTAAAAATAATTAAACCATCATAATTCAGTCTATGAAGATAAAAGTTGGATAACCACTAAAGAGGAGATGGAACAAATGAAATTTAAACAAGAAAAAATACAAGCAACATGCCTTAGCAAAATTAAATTTAAGTAACAGCAGATTACCAAACATCAGTATACAAAGGTAAAGTACTGGAGACAAAGTTAAAAGACAACCGTAAATAAATAAAGGGCTAAAGAAGCAAACTACTATTGTATAAAACATCAGGAAAAGGTTGAACATAACAATGAAAGAAGTGAGAACAAGTAAATGATGAAGAATTATGGAAAGTGATGAAAAATGAAAGAATTACAAATGAGAAAAAAAAAGCCCTCCCAAAATATACAGACTAATGCTGATCTGTCTTGAGAAAATATTTAGAATCACAAAATGAGAAATTTGTCAATTACATCAAGTATTGTGCATTTCATGCATTACATTTATCCGATCCCATGAACTGATACTTTCAAGTACATTGTCTCATTTCATAACCTCTGCCAAAGGAAAATTGTGAGGAAAGTTAACTCTTTATTAGGAATGGTTGTTTCTCAGTGTAGAAGTATATTGTCTAAATATCAAGCTATTAGTGGCTGAAAAACCTGTTTCCATGAATAAGCATACATTGGTATCATATTACATTTCAATATACACATATTCTGGAATGTTATTTCAAGTTTTGAAGATGAGAGGGTAATTTTATTGCAGGTCCAGGAAGTAACTAATTTTTTTAAAGGTTAAAATGTAAAAATCAGTTTATTTTGGGTGCATTTGCTCAGAGGATGTCCTATGTTATTTAATAACCATTCAAGCAGTGCAAGTTACACATTTTATATGTATTTATTATTCCAAAAATTAAAAAATGTTATTACCAATTTGAGAATGAAGCACTACTGATAGACAAAAGGCTCTTCCAATGTAACAATACATAATGCTCCCATTGTCCACACCTGGCTCAAAGAGCATGATGGTCATTATACTTTACCAGCATGGTACCTGGTACAGAGTTGAACATCAACTTCCCCATGGTAGTCCTCTGCTAACAATTGTGATCCTGTTGGTAATCACTCTACCCAGTTGGGGTGCAGTTGGACAAGAACCTGTCACGACCTTACGGAATTTAACAAATGCTGAGTCCAGGCTATCTATCTATCAATATGTAAAAAGGTGGTCCAATTCGATCTTATGTGGAAGTTCTAATGAAGGTGTGCCAGTTTTTGTATGAGAACATGTGGTAACTAGTAGTAGATAAAAATATTCAACATCTACTGCAATCCATGTTACATTTATACTGACAACTGCATCTTTTGGGATACCTAATGAACATTTTCAAACTATTTCAACATCTATTTAGCTTAAAACATTGTTTATATGTGAATTTTCATTTTATTTACAGTCATCAGTCATGTGTGTTTTAACATGTGGGGGTATGAGTAATAAGTACACAAGAGTATTTTACTATTTTCAACATATGTTAAAATCCAACTGCACTTTTTTGGTCAATCTGATAGGATCCGACACTACTTTGTAATTTAAACTGCTGATCTACCCTATTCAAGATAATCTGTATTACTGATAATTACCTGGTTTATTGAAACTGATTTAAACTGTACTTCCAATTAACATTAATTAATATATATATATATATATTTTTTTTTTTCATTCCAAATGTGACACTTGTCTTGCATTTTCTTTACTGTGAGCCTTAAGAGAAATCTATTATAAAAAACAGTTCACAGAAATTATGGTTCACAAAATCATAACTTTGTTGATAAAACAATTTTTGGTACCTAAGGTTGGTGCCTTTAAATTTTAAAGTACACACTTTTATCTCTTAAATTGAGGCATTGAGCATCATGTTCAATAACAATACAGTATTTTTCAAAGATTTCTGTATATTCAATAAATGTTAAATTTGCAGCTTAAAATGAGACAATTTTTACCCATTTCAAATATTTTTTTTAATATTCTGGTCACTGCATAACAGCTGATGGTATTCATACCCCAGGATATAAACAGCTTGTAAAACTAAACAGAGAAATCAACTAATAATGTATAAGTAAAAGATAGTAGATAAGTATATAAATACTGTCAGCCTTTATGATTGGTTTGCTCAAGATCTCTCATCAACCATGATTTAATATGTTTGTTTTTCATTGCATTTGCTGTCTGTCCACATTCAGTACAACACACTTTGACAGTGACTTTTTCTGCACAAAACTTAACAGCAACTTAAAGGCAGAGTCAAATGTAGGAGTAAAAAGGCATATGACAATTATCAGTGTTGTTAAACCTACTACAGAGGTGGTGTACTCAGATTGAAAACAAACATATTTATGGGTATTTCAGTCATAAAAGTTGAAATAACTAATTTAGATGCATAAGCTGCATAAGAATGAAACAAACTTAAAATAAATTATTAACATTTGAGGCTACAGAGCTTCGTTATTAACTGCTTACAGTGTTCAGTAACATTTAAAGTATTTTCCACTTTTTTCTAAGACTGCTATTTATAAGTAAAGATGTAGTGGAAAATAAACTGGAGATGCAGGCTATATATAAGCCCATTCTTTTAATGTGTCAAAAGACAAATTCACACTTTTTAAGACATATTCTGCAAAACAAGTTTTAAAACCTCACTGAGATCTGACTTGCTTTATGAGCCTTAGATAACAGCATGTTTGTGGTAAATAAAGAAAAATCCACACTTAGTTAAGATACTTGCTTCATCTGTTGGAGCAATGGTTTTGACATGGAACTTGATACACTCCCAGACGATGTTGATTCAATTCTGAAATAAATTGTAAATAAACTTTTGAATACTAAGTAGGTGCTTCATATCAAGTAAATCTAACAATTACCTAAGCGCAATTTTTACCTACTCAGTCTTCATTCCTAATAAATACATCAAATAAACCCAAGATTATATACTTATTCTGAATATAAGGATCTAGTTTTGAACTATTAGATGGTCTAGCATTAACATATATACTTGATTTACCACAGGTTGATAAGTAAATTTTTTAAAATCTTTATTTAATCTTTGATAAGTAAATTTATTGTTAATTTTTTAAGAGAAGTAAATATAAACAAAGTCTCAGCAAAATCACAGCTCAATAAAGAGATGAAGATTATAATTCATTAAATTAATGTGAAAAGGATTTCACTACCACAAGATTCCAAAGAGAATTTATGAAAAGGACTAGGATTAAACCTCACCAGAAGTGACCTGTTATATTTAATCTTCCTCAATTTGAAAAATAAAGAAAAACAAATATGTTCATGTTTTATGTTACTCATATTTGATAGAAACTGAAAATGTGTTTCTTTACACCAACAGATATATGTGTGTGTGTGTGTGTGTGTGTGTGTGTGTGTGTAAATCTTGTTAACTTTACATGATTTAGGAGCTCAGATACTAACCCTCAAATTACTTGCTTGATTTTATACCATTCAGTACCAGTGGAGTCCAAATATAGCATCACATTGAGTAATCTTATGTTTCTCTCTGTTACAACACTTACTGTAGTGTTGGATGATAATTAACCATTAACTGTAAAGTATCATTATAATCATGGTTATCAGCTGATTAAATGAAATATGTACAGTTCCTCAGCATTTATCAAATGCATGTACTTGAGCAGTATGACAACTGTCTGTACAAGTCACTGAGTTTGGAAGAAACAATACAATACAAATTTTCAAAAAACAAGAAGTTTTCATAAAAGATGTTTAGATTAATTTGAAAATCCAAATCATGTCATGATACCCAAACAAACAAAAAACTAGTCACATAACTATTTCAGTGCCACTGCCACACATTTGATCAATTCACTTGTGTTAAATTTGTTAGAATCTTATGATGATTCTACTAATTCAGTTTTTAACAAAGAAAGAATTAAGTTATGAAACTATGAAATTAAACTTGGGAAATCAGTTTTTCCAAACAGACATGGCAGAAATTGTCAAACAGTTAAAGACATGAATATACAAAATATCCAGAAAAGAACATGTATAAACTGTTTCACTCCTTTAATAGAGTACCAAGAATATAAGTTTTCTGATAAGCTATGTTTGAGCTGCTTAACCAATTGGATCTTGGTCAGCATTCATTTCCAGAATATCCCTATGCATGTGCTACATATTCTTCTCCACTGTGAGATTCTGTAAAATCTAGAATTAGTTCCAAGACTTGTGTTATGTCTTCTAAGACTGTAATGGATTTATCATTTGGCATTAAGTTTCACTTTTTGCATTCATTTGCTATGTTGAGAGTAAAAAAAAAGGCAAGTCCATTTAATTCAGCCCTTAAATGAGAGACTCCAATCTCATACATTCCTGGTACTTTCTTGATGGAATCTCATTTTTTTTTATCCAATGCATTTATCAGATATTGAAATCCAGATTTCTCTACCATTTAGAATGGCTGCATATCCACGCACATAAAACAAGCAATTGAACTGTAATTTCACTGTGTTTCAGGTAATCCTTATTATATTTTGAATTACATTTCAGAAGATCTGTTAATGTTATGTTTGAGCTTTTGTGCTTAGATTTTGATTTTTCTCTGCCTTTGAATATTTTAATCTCACAGAAGTATATGAATCTTGATGAAAAAGTCTGTGTTACTTTCTTTGCATGATCCCATAAGCATTTGGTACAAAAGTTTAAAAAATGTTTAAAAAGCCAGCAAGGTCTATATGGATCCCACTATTAGTAATCCTAGAAATAACAATGAGCTTGTCATTTCTTATGCATATTTAATCCTTGTTACATTTAAGTCTTGCAAGGAAACATGCAAGTTAAAATAAGGTAAACAGAGAAAATTAGATTTGATTTTAGTACAGATATGCTGATAAGAAAATAATTGCTAATAACTGGCTGATTATATTTTGTAATTTTCCTACTAAAAATGTAATCCCTTCAATACTTATCTCTGAGACCTCATACAAGTATGTAACAAACTACTTACATTCACTCTCATACTACATTGAAAAACTACACCATACTGTGTTATGTTAGACTTAATCCTGATGTTTTTGTGAGTTGGAATGTAATATAGACATAACTGATATTTTTAAAAAATCAACAACTATAATTTTCAGTTTCTTTGGCACTATAATAATTGAAATGTTTTAATGAAAAGGAAAAATATATCTGGATTAAGTGATCATTTCCCTACACCTTAATAATATAATATAATTTTCAGTTTCTTTGGCACTATAATAATTGAAATGTTTTAATGAAAAGGAAGAATATATCTGGATCAAACGATCATTTCCCTACACCTTAATAATATAATATAATTTTCAGTTTAGTTGGCACTATAATAACTGAGATGTTTTACTAAAAAGGAAGAATATCTCTGGATAAAGTGATTATTTCCCTTTACCCTTTGCACCTCCAAAATGTTCAAGACCAATCAACATATGTATAAATGTTCAATACATAATAGTTTTGCTTATTCTGTGAATTGGAAATCTAATATACTATCTAACATATTGTTGGTTAATGTCATGAGCAAAGATGTACCCATCTCTGAACTTACAATGTATGGAGTTATAGACCAGTACTAACCATTGTATGTATCAATTGCTATGTGACATATTCTATTGCCATTTAGAACATTTTTTTTTTTGAAGATGAGGAAATGTCATTCTAAACTTTGATTTTAAAATATTATTAATGTCAGAAAATGTGAAAAAAAAAATTCAGAAGTTTCAGAAAATGAAGGGAAAGGGTTAAAATTTATCGATTTCATTTTTAGGTGATAAACTGACAATTATAAACTAACACCAGGTGATTTAGATTAATCAGATTTCTCACAATAAACCACTACCAACTGACTAAAGGCCACATCTCAGTTGTTTAGTTTTTATGAATTAACATAATCAAAACTTTGTATATGACTATGGTGCTAAAATTGAAGGTTTATAATTATTACATAATTTATCAAAATCACACCTGAAATTTGTACATGAAATGGAGGCTGCTTCCCGAGCCACTCATCACTACCATCACAACAATCACATATTCCATCGTTAACCCTGCTGGACACAATTACCAAAGATCCTTCATGGTGCATAGGTTGAAAAGTACAATAAAATCTAGGAAGCAAATAAAATACTTTATATTATAACAGAGATTTAGATTTAATCTATATTTGTTAAGTACATTTATTTCAAGAAGTGAATAATCCTCAACTGTTTTGATTAATAGCCATTAAACATATGGATTTCAATTTTTTGTGTGAAAAAATAGTATTTGGTATTTAAACAGTAAAAAAATAATGCAAACAAGACTTGTGAAAGATATGTACAATTTAATATTTGAAACAAAAACACATTATTGTAAAGTGGGTAGTCACAAAATGTTGGAAAATAAGATTTCTAACTGTAGAGATGGAGATCTGAAAATCAAAAGGCCCTTTTTCCACTGAAGTCACTCCAAATTATTCAAAGAAAACCAAGCATTAGTCCAGCTAAATGTAACCTTTTATAATCACATATCAAATACAATTTTTTAAAATATGGACACAGGAAAGTTTTGGGTAGCTTATTAAAAGAAGGAGATCACTATTTTGGATAGATTGAAAAAATGTAATGATAGAATAATATGAAAGTTTAAGTTAAAGGATAAACTTGTGGAAAAAGTTACTTGATGATATGATCTGTGCTGTTACTTTGATCTCTTTTATGTTTATTGGATAAGTATATGGTAGAACTACTTTTAATTTAAATGAAATATAAAAGTCCAAATGAATCCCTAAGCATACTGAACAACTATTACTGGTGCATTTGAATGGTAAAATGAAATGGTTCAAAATAATAACTTCAATAGGGTAACAGGTTTAAGTTATGGAAGGTTTTTTGGTTAGAGGTAAAATTTTGTGAAATCGTTTGCATGATGATATGTTAAGGAATATTAATTATTTATTTCTAAATAGGCTACATTTACTGTTGTTTTTATTACTTTGGTTAGTTATGGTTACTTCAGTGGTCAGAGTGGCTTTATGTTACTTTGCTTGTTCTTACATGTATATACAGTTTAGCATCCATAATTACTTGAGCTCTTTGATGATAGTCCTTGAGAAACTATCATGATACTAAAATAGAGATTCAACATTTTGTAACTTTGAAACAAATTTATTAATTCTCATAACACCAGATTACCATCTGTAGGGATAATAATAAAAAAAGCTCTGAATGGATTGTCACTCACCTACTGTTGACACAAGCTGAAGTGCCTGGTTCATCTGAACCATCTAAACAATCACAGAAATCATCATTGACCTGATCAAGAGGTATCTGAGTTTTGTCTTGGATACACTGAAACATTCCTTTCTGATTCGGTAAATATAACTTCTGTTGGCTGGACAGCACACCCAAAACAAATGGGTGGTTCATTTGCTCCAAATGCTGAGCCTGATTTAAATCTTTACTGTATTTCTTTTGGAACTCTATGGACTGTTGGGGTAAATTAGAGTTCTTCTTATGTAAATTAGATTGTTGGTATTTTTTTTGTCCATTCAGGATGCCTCCATTAATTACGTCAATTACAGCATCAGCTTTTTGATATGGTTTGGTGCTAACAATATTTTGATGTTTTAAAACTTGATTTCTTCGTTTTGATAGTTCAATGCTCAGCCAAAACTGATATAAGAGAAAAATCAACCCTACACCAGCAATCAATCCAAAAAACCGTTTCCGTCTAAATAAGCGACGAATCAGATATGGGAATGCCATTAGAAGTGTATTATTTTCAACACCTTAACTTTTGATTTCTTTCTTTCTTGAATCCAAAACCTTAAAGAAAAAAAAAATAAAATATTTTGAATTTAAAATGTCTAAACTAGTGTATATATTATTTTTACATCTATAAAACATAGCTATAACAACAGCATCACAAAACAATCCCTTATTTATACCCTACACAGCCACATATCTCACTCTTAGGCTTCTGAATCTGATAGGATACCCCACCACCAACCAAAAAGTCACGTTTTTTGCTGTTGAGTTAGAGATTGCTTAGGTTAAGCTAAAAAGCTTTCAAGTAATATTGGATGCTTCAGGCAAGATACATTCACAAATCCTTTTTTTATTTTGCCCAATCTTGATATTCACCTCTTACCAGTAAATTTCCTAGTATTGTAGACTAGGCATTTTTCATTTAACGTCACTTATTCCCTATCTTCAATAAAAATATATCAAGCGTCATTAATGTTTTCACACTTATCAGTCATATTAACTTTTTATCTCTATGGATATTTTGAAATTTCTGAAAATTGGCTTTATCAAAGCTGGAGATATAACTATAACCCTTATTAAATCTACAACTGGCTTCAATAACATCATCATAAGTAATGCTATAACAACTAGTGCTCAAATGCTCTTATACATCTACTTTTATTTTTTTTTTTTTTTTTTTTTTTTTTATTTTTAAATACTAAGAACTTGGTAAACAGCATCATCTTCAGTAGAATTCCCCCACAATCTAAGGACTTATTCTATAAAAGAATAGACTAACCTATTCAATTTCCCTAAAATTAATGTCTCTCATAATAATAAGTATTTTTTGGTAGCATATTATTTATTACCCCTCTGAAGACAAAAACTTTGAGCATCAAAATTTCTGCACCCATGATGACTCCCTAGAGCATTCAACAAAAGCTGTGTACTCCTTCAATTCAAACTCTTTGTCTAACTTAAGATAAAAAAATGCCCCATCCAAGGAAAATTCATCATTTCACTCAAAGATGTAATGGATAATACAAAAAGTGGTACACTTTCATATATCTACAACAATCAACTGAATGTCAAATTGGACTGTGAATGAAACTTTTTTGAAACATATACAGCAAAAGCCATTATGATGATACTAGGGGGAACAACTAAGAGGAAGACTGTAAAAATGAGATCACTGAATCCAATTAACAAACAGATCTGAACTCAATAGGATATATTTTCAATCACCAAGACTGTCTTTTCTAGTATAACAAACTTTTTCTCAAAACAAGAAATCAGGACAGTTGCTTCAAACATAAAACTAAAGTTCAAGTCATTATTGACTGTTATGGGTACCACGTGCCTAAACAGATTAATCCCTACATCCCAGTACAAATATTTTCCTTTTTCATATGTGCATCAGAAATTGAACTTCCTGAGATAACTCAGGTAAACCCAAAGATGATGAAGAAGAAACTGTTTCCTACATGTCAGTAAATTTAATTTCTTGCACTTACACAGATACAACACTGAAATTTGTTTGGAACTTTTACATCAAATTGATCTACCTAATGTATTGTAATTTTCTCAGGTGTACTAATTTCCTTTAGAAAAATCAAGTAGGATCTGCTTACTAACAGGAGGTGTGAGCAGAAAATATTATGCAGGCTTAAACTGTATTGTCCAACTTTGACTGAGTTGTGAAAAATTAAAGAGACTGGACACAGCAGGAAGATCAATTATGAAAAACTGTGAAAACACAGAATTATATGTACATGAGACAGTAATGATGTTCTTTTCCAGGCATAATCCATGTCACTGCTGGTCATTCCCATCAAAAAAATAAAAAAGATTGCACCAAGGTATTATCACCTTACCCACCTTTTGAAAAGTGAGATTGGACACAATGTGAAACAATCATCATTTATTCAACAAAACAATGAAAGATGATGGGTTTAATAAAGAACAGCACCTTTAATAAGAGCTCTTGATAGATCCATGTAAACATTCTTTTGAAAAACTGTTCCAGGCTGAGAAAACAGTATTATATAAACCAGACAGTGATGCTATATTTTCCAAGGGAATCACCTAACCGACTTCTGATTAATCCCATTATAAAATAAAGATGTCACCTTATCAACCAGTCGAAGAGACCAATGTCCACATCTACATAGTGTGTTCAACTTTAAAAAAATACTTCCCATGAGAAAATGCACATGATGCCATGAGTGAAGTGAATAACTCAGGATAATATGTAACTATAATGAGAGGAACTTACCTATTTCCTTGATCAAAGTTCTATGTTAAATCTGCATGTGCTTATATACATGAAAATTTTGAGAAATGTTTATGTGAACTTAGAATCCATTTTACTAAATAAGTTAAGCTAGTTAAAGTTAAATCCTTGCTATACCTTTGCAAGGCACATAGGGCTGGTGCTTTCAAACTCTGGTTTCAAGTGGCATGAGGTGATGAGAATGGTCACCCATTCCTCTGGACCATCATATAGCTGGGTAGACTGGAACAAATGGGGTAAAATGTGTTAGCCTCGAACTCGCAACCATCTGATTACAAGTCTAAAGTGTGAACCAACAGAGACACACTCTCCCTGTTTATAAAGGGGGTATAAAATATCTAGTATGCCCACGTACTAAATCTTTCCTTTCTCCTTCAGGCCATTCTTTTCTGCCTCTACTTTTTTAAATCTAAAATCCAATTAAATAAACTTACACAATGGTCAAGAAAGTGATTTATTTTACTCTTGCCACTGTTAAATATTTACACCATAATACATATAAGTAAAACAGGTAGCATAACTTTGCAAACAATTACACATCAAATTTCAAAATCATAACTTAAAAAACACAAACTGAATATATTATGATAGAATAAACATACAAAATAAATCTATCAACAAAAGCAAGACACACCATGTGAGTGCTCTACTAACTGAGTTAAAGGGTCATCCCATTAGTGCTTGCTAGTAAGGCAATTTTTAACAATTCAACTTATCACAGGATAAATCAAGACAGTATCACACACAAGAGAAACATAAGGAGTACTGGCTACAGTGGCCATTGGACCTACCAACTTTTTTGGACACAATTTCAGAACTGGCTAAACATCTAAAAAAAGAAAAAGCCAATTTCCTTGTATACCCTGGCTACACCTCACCTTCATCTCAAAATGACACACGCCAGCCAGTGCTGAGATTATTCATTAAGTTTTTTAGGTGACATTAAAAAGGCAAAGTACTATTTCATCTGTCTAGATACAATACCTGATTGCAGCAAACAAGACTACTTTATTTTGATATTAGGTATTTCAGTAAGAATGGAGAAATGAATCTTTATTAGATATTAGCTGTGTGTTCTCATAATTGAATCTTTATTATGTATTAGATATGTGCTCTCATAACTGAATTTTATTATGTATTAGTTGTGTGCTCTCATAACTGAATCTATATTATGTGTTAGTTGTGTGCTCTGATGTGAAGGCAGCAGGAATGTACAGCAGAATCTTTTTAAAAAGCTTGGTTTTTCATTTGGCAAACTGTATGGCCAAGGACATGATGGCTATTCTACTACTAGGTATGTCTGGCCATTACAATGAACTACAGACACATATGAAAGACTTGGCTCCAAAAGCATATTATAATGTACACTGCTTTACATGGTAACTAGACAACTAGTCAATGGACAATCAGACACCTTCAAAAATTGGGAAGTACAACATTTAGACACCTAATAATTTTAGAAGGGTGTTAAAACTTTGCAACATACTAAAAATAAATATAATGAGTAAATTAAATTGGTAATGTATTAGGCCTACATACATACAGGTCATATAATGGAGAAAATTGAAACTGGTAATATAGTAGGCCTACATCTATACAGTTCATATAATGGAGTAAAGGACGGTTTTGAATTCATGTGGTCAATTTTCAAACCAATTGCATTCATGATAGCATGAGAACTAAACTATTTCATCTTTAATAACATCATTTATTACCAGATAAATGGGATCCCTGCTGGGTCCAATGATAGCCAATAGTTTTATATGCTATCCTATAATGAAGTAAATTAAACTGGTAATGTATTAGACCTAAATATTTACAGGTCTTTTATATGTTTATGCTTATATAGTGTTGTACATGGAACATATCTGTTGTGATTATTGTCTTATTTTATAATAAACAAGTGGTGTCTAAATGTCTAACTTTGTAATTTTTTTAGGTGTCTAATTGTCCTGAATTCACTTTATACACCACTTACACTCAACTGTTGTGGACACATGTATAACGAACAAAAGGACAAGAAATAGTCCAGTATATGTTTTCATTCTTTCAAATCAGCATAAAGATGGTTTCTTAAAAGGCATTCAACACAACTGCAACCTAAAGTGGCTGAGCTGACACACTACAGTCAGTAAGCACAGCATGCTGGTCAAACAGAAAATAAAATTGTACCATACTTTTAAGCACACTTACTGTTGTGAAGTTTACACTGGAAACTATTAGGCATGATTCTAAAAACTTACAATTTAAAGTAAAGAAGAATGTTTAACAATATGCCATCCTCACTATATCTGCTATATCCAGTCCTGACAAGGCCTTTCATCCAATATATGGCTCATCAGGTCAGCTGAGATATGACATATGATATATATATATAATAGTTAAAGCTGGGTGATTAATGGAATTTGCTAATTGATTATATTCAACTAATCTATTATTCTTATTCTATAGCTGGAATAAAAAAAGAAAAAACTTGTAAAGCAACACACTGGGTTTTCATACCAATGGTGAGAATTGCAGAGACAATCCACTGTGTAGCTTTGTGCTCAATAACAAACAAGCATAACTTCAATATTTCAACTACTCGGATAGTTGGAATAATTGAAAATACTGATAATCAGAAATCCTCATTTTGATTAGTTCATTATTTTCAGCTGTGACACTAATCAATTAAGCTAAACAAACTTGAATTAATCAGAAATAATAATTACAAATCATAGTGTCAATATTTCAAGCACTGGATAGTTGGAACAATCGAAAATAGTAATAACATGAAACACTAATTTCAATTAAGTGATTATCATTTTTGGGAAGTTAATCAATATTATCATAATTTTTATTATTAGATAGCTGGAATAATCAACAACAGTAACAACTGGAAATACTAGTTAATTACTGTTGAGATGTTAATTGATTATATTATATAATAATATAGCAATGTTCATAGGTAATTGATTAATTGCTCAGCTCTAGTAGTGGGCAAGATGTTATTTATGTTACCAACTTGTATTTTATCAGTCACTTACAAATCAGAATTAGGGTAAGGATTAATAACACAATATTTATTTTATTTAACACTACTTATTATTTATCTTTACTTGAATTAACTTAACTCATCATTCAAAAGAACTGGCAAACAAGTCAGTCAGTCTTAATATTCCTGGAGTGAGTCAAGCACATATAGAGTCAATGGGAGAAGACATTAGTAATTCTAAGAACTTATGAGTGAAATCAAATAATGCATAACAATATGTCAACCACACTATATGGTAACTTTTACATTGAAATTGCTGGTGAAGATTCATCCCATCTGAAAGATTTAGGCTTTGAATTCTGCCCCTGTCTTGTCACAGAGATAAATTTTGGAATTAAGTCATGAGGCTTCCAATTATTTGCATGGTGAGTATATGAACAATTCAATAGCATTATCTCAAATTCAAATGCTACTTTCAGAATTTGAAGATATGTAAAATGAGGAAATTTCTAACCAGTGTTTTGCAAAATCTGAAAGAACTGCAGATATTACTGATTTTACTTACATTTACTCAGAACCTCACACTAGAAATGTTTCCTGTACACTAGATACACATTTTAAAACTCGGATAATATTAACTGACAAAGATTGTTCCCGAGTCACATTATTTTATGAAATATTGAATTTGATACTATTCCTATACATTTGCATAACCAACCTTGTGTCACACCTGAAAAAGACCAAGGCACTGTTGAAACATAATGTTTGCTACAATAAATGTTACTGGGTTTATAATTCATTGTAGGTTAATTTACTACTGCATGGAATGATATTTCAGATTACTGCTCTTACTGTATGAACTGTCACTTTGCACACAAAAACATGCAACTTCTCTACAACTGTACTTGTATATAGCCTAGGAAATGCGGGTATATATATATATATATATATATATATAGGTATGTCAACATCAGCAATAAACATTATTGGGTATTTGAGCTACTACAAATTTTTTGGATCTTAATGACCCACTGGCTGGATACCCTCCAAGAACATATTATGCAGTATTCAATGTTCAAGCCTCACTTCATCTTCCAGAAGTCACTACATATCTCAAAGTCAAGATCTAAAACAAAAAGATTTGAAACCAGAAAATGCTACATTGATTGGTGCAATTTTTGCCTGTAAAAACATTTTCCCATTGAACCAATGCAACTGTTTTAGTTGTGTAATCCAATTTAAATAACATGTGTGTTCCAGATATTACAATTTCTTTCACCTGAATATATTCTCTGGAACATATAGGGTGGGTTTAATCATTTTTCACAGCAAATAATGAATATTAGCTTCCTGAAACTTTGTAAATGAGAAGCTGAGACACTGACTTTTGAACAAAAATATTTTCAGATTTTCATTTTGTGGGTTTAGTTCCTAGGTTAAAAACGTTTGTGGTACCTTATTTTATTTTCCAAAGATGTTTTTATTTACTAAGTATTTTTCCTGTACACTGGATACACATTTTAAAACTCATATCATATTAACTGACAAAAATTGTTCTTGAGTCGCATTCTTTAATGAAATATTGAATTTGACAATAAATAATGCTCTAATAATTTGATCTCCTGACTTTGTTTTTCAAAAGTGTTTTTATTTTTTACTATTTAGATCATCATACAGTTTTTCTGCACTCACTTAATCAGCTCTTACATGAAAACAATGAGGATTGGTCACTTTGGAGAATGCATGTAATTACCATTATTTTTTTTTTTAGCATTCCTAAATTCTAATACAAACCAAATGTTTAATCTCCTAACATGGGTAAATTAATGATAAAAAATAATCTAACTCAATCAGGTTTTTTATTGTTACGCTTAATATTTACTAACCTAGCTTCAAACTTCATTCTTCAAACCATTTCCAAAGCCATTCTGAATACTTTTGAACACTAACTTCCCAATGCTTTTCTAAATAACTTCTTACAATAGGTTCCTACAGTTTCCTACCAATAAAAGTAAAATTCAAATAATAATGTTGTATTTAACTTAATGTAACATAAGCATTAGTAGATATATCACAAGTCACATAGCAAAACTACTAAACCCTATAATTACCAATGGGATTTTCTTAGCTAATCTTTGGTGTGGCACCTTATCAAGAGCTATTTTTTATATAAATGAAGTATACCAAGTACACATTCTTTCCTTTGTCATTATTACAAAGAGCATTCTCAAAAAAAAAAAGAGAAAAAGAAGAAAACATTGGTAAGGCAAGATTAATCTTTGGTGAATCCATGTCAGCTCTCATTTGTGATATTTTGTTTCAATAAATGATTTTGCAAGTATTCTTTTATTAAACTCTCAGCAAATTAAAAATAGGAATAACATTTGAAACTCTCCAGATTGGAGTCCACTTCAAAGACTCTTTACCACTGTCTGCTGACCTACCAAGAATGAATGAGAACGTCTTGCATATCCGATCTTTGACGTACTTTTAGTCCCTGAGGAAAACCTTGTCTTAGTTGTCTTCTCCGGGTGCCTTTTTTTATCTATTTTTATTCTCCCAGCCTCTCTAACTACCATTAACTTTAAAAAATTAAGGAATTAATATCGATCTATATACTTCATCCTCAGGTCAATTCCAATGTTTCCTACAGAAAGCGTAGGGTGAGGAATATCTATCTACTAGTACTATCTTGTCTTGTGAAAACAGAAGAGAACGTCTTAAACTTAAAGCTCGGCCATTTAACTTCGAAGTCTTAAGATAAAATACCTTGCATGGTAATCAGTTATTCTAACTAGTTTATACCACGCTGTTTTGAAAATTGAAATAAAGTCTCACTCTCGTGACACTGTTAAATGTTAATATTATGATTAGCGATGTTTCATGCTTAAAATAGGAGCAAAATATTACCGTTAGCATAATATTTAAATCTTACTTTTAAAATAATTATTCATAGATGATTTTCATTTACTTTTATGTAATGATTTACAGAAAGTATATTTCGTACATGACGCCAACTGTGAAGATAAAGAATGTCCTGACGTCACATCCTGTTAGTCTTAAAATGTTTTCACGAGAGGTGTTGGCCGAAAAACATGGTGCACATATGTATTCTTTTTAAAAAAAAAGCTCTATTATTAGATTTAACCATACAGTGAATAGTTACATGAAACGAATAAAATTCAAATGATTGTTTCTTGCATGAAGAGACATAGAAGGTAAGGTAACGAATAGGACAATTTTGTCGTACTCTAACTGACATTAGACTAGTAGTACTATACTACGCAATTTGTATAAGGTAAGTACTATAACTTAAGTATAACAATCAGACGTTGTAACGCTAGGCCTATTTTTAGTTAACGTCATTTAGCTAGGGCACTAGGTAAAATGCGGAACAGCGTCCGGAACCATGCCATACGCACTCAAAAACTTTCCATAAAATAGGTAAAACTAAAAAGCGGAACATTAAACTCTAAAAGAATAGCATTTAGAATGAAGCTAAAATGTATAATAACATGGCTGATCTTCTAAGATATGTATTTTTCATTAGTAATTCAAAATTACCTGTCTGTTGTACGTCAGATTTGGCCAAAGTAAAACGCTGAACCAACAGATCTCCATTAACTCATTAATAACTCATCGTGTTACAAATCAAAACACACATTTGTGAAAATAATTTAATTCCTAATCCTGTGACATATAACACTTCTTGACACAAACAGACTGTAACATCGACATTGAATTCTAAATACACATTTGATAATCTAAATAATCTTTGAAACTGCATTAACATATTAAGGACTTTTGTGTCACAAATCAAAACACATATTTGTGAAAGTCATTAAATGCTCAGTCACTTGATATATAACACTTCTTGACACAAACGATCTGTAATATTGATGAATATAACGTTAACCTCATCATAATCTGCACCATGACAGATTCCAATATCTTGCGGTTTAACATGTGCATGCAAAACATAATTCTAATGTGTGTTAGGTTATTTTCGTTAGATTGAGATATTCTGATAGTGATGCTCTGATCCTATTATGTTGCAAAATCACATTCAAAATAGTAAAAATAAAATACAGCCTTAGAAGTTTGAAACAGCATTTAGTACATTAGAGAAGATAGAAGTTAGAACTGAACACGAGAATTTATTATGAATTTTAGATTAAAACTGTTTAATTATAAAGGTATCCTTTATTTTGCAGTGGTTTATATTATTTTTCTCTATTGATAAATTCTATGTTATCATGTCGAAATAAATGATCATGCATTGACGTATGTTCGTAAAGTTTAGGAACTTGTTTGTGGGTTTGCACATTTTCGGAAATTTCATTATGAAACCATTTGTTTTTTATGTTATTTTAAAATACGTCTCAGAATTCTTTTCGTCTCAGAATTTCTGTTTTTGGTGTCATGTGCCTAAAGTCATTTAAATATATCCATTACTTATTTTTTCATTAAAACTATAATTTCTATGTCTGTGTTTGTTCTAGTAATAGTGTGCAAATTTTCTCGTTTGTTCATTCAATCTCAGACATACAGTGAAACTAGTTATTAGAAAATATGAAAGAAAGAAGGAAAAACTGGATTTTTCTTGTTTTGTTGAAGTTAAAACGTGCCGTTAGCTTCATGAATGATAGTAAGAACAAAAAAGTACAATGCTATTGGCATTAAAATAAAGTACTATGATTTTTTTCCAAATGATCTCTAGAAGTTGTTTCAATAGTATGATCGTTATTACAAGTATTTCTAATATATATTTCCAGATCAAATTTAGAATAATAAAGTTGTTAGTCAGTAACTACAAGAGAAGGAAACATCCTTTACATTTTATTGCATATTGTAACAGATACAATAATTTTAATAAAACACCGACACAAACACTTTAATAAAACTGGGTAATAGAGTGAAGCACCTGTTCTTTTTGGATCGGAGTTGAAACATGGCAATACAAAACAAATGTATCATCTTTGCAGTCCAAACTCTGCTTCAAAAATATGGTTTACTAATAATTAAAATTACTCAAAATATTATATAGCTATTTACTTACAGAAACCGTTTCTGTTTCAGCTCTTTATTTCATTGTTTTTCTAGTATTTTTAACTGCAAAAATGCTTTTCATCATCTTATGTTGATCAGTGTGTATTTATCCTGTTGTATCGGTAAACTAAAAATTGGACATAAAACTATGCTTAAAAATTTTTAATAATACAAAGTCTTATTGAAATTTTTATTAGGTATTTGGTTTGTTTTCAAAGTGATCATTAAGAAAAGACAAATAGTCATTTGCAGCATTTTCAATAAAAATTTATTCCCAACATTATACCGTAACAAAAACAGAAATTTATACACACACAGATGAATAAAAAATATCTAGAACAATAAGGATGTGATTATGCATTTTCAAGTGATTAACATGTCTTTTTACTTATTGACATTAGCTCATTTTTTTATCATAATTAGTATAGAGTTTGATTTGTCTTACTATTCTTACAGACAACATTTGCAGTTAAGAAGCTCTAAATAGAGATAACAGATTTTGTAGCATTTTTTATCTATTTGGATTATAATTGCAGAAAGAAAGATATGTTTAGATTCATGAATGATATATTAAGCAAATATAACAATTTTTATAGATTTTAATATTTTCTTCATCCATCAAAAATAGGTTGTATATACATCCAAGCTGGTTTATTTTGTAAATATTAAGCTGATATACAAATGTTTTGATTATCACGAACCATGATAGTGGATCTTAATAGGGTTTGCCCAGGAATATCACAAAAATTCTAGTCGGACATACAGCAAAAACCATCTTAAAAAGCAGACTTGTTATTGAAATAACACTTAAGACTTTCTATCTCAATAGCTAAGGCTGCTAAAATATTGATAATAGCAAAAAGGTTGATTTTCCGATTGTTAGACAGAATTCAAAATTCATCCATTTGTTATTCATATTATTATTATTAACATTATTGTTGTTTCACAAGCCTACAGAAAAAATGGCTATGAATACTTTATTCAAACCTGGGCAATCTACTATAAAACTCCTGCGCATGTCATAGGACTATTTTCTGTGGTTCTATTCCCCTCGATGGACACAGCAGAAAGCTCGATGTGGCTTTGCTGTAAGAAAAACATGGTGGGAGAGAGCATTGTGTTGTTAAATATGGGAAGGAACTTGTTGTAGCCATACATACATATTATACTTGGTTTCCCAGTGATACTAACGGGGTACTTCCTTTAATTATTTGGAATAGTCAATTGTTAACCAATGAGGAGCAACAAAGATCACATGCTTATTCAAACAATGGGCGGCAAGTAAATGGTGCTGTTAATTTTTCAGTATTACTTTGTTTATCTTATTTTCATACAGAGATACTCTTCTAGCAACCTCAGTATTTATGTTTTGCAAGTGTTCGTTCATCTAAATTGAGTAAGTTTGAATGCTGTACATTGACTTCTAGTTTTCTGCATTGTTTTATAAGCACTTTTGCATACAGACCTATATTGAACCTTTCATCTTATTGGAAGCTTATTCTTCTAGAGGTAAAACAGAACCTTTTGAAAGTTGTAGTTGTTATAAAGTTAGTGTCTCTCTGTAAATGTTAAAACCACCACGCTAGCTGTGACATAAACGAGTCCTTTATAAGTATTCAATGTTGAATATCGGTATAATGACCTTCACAAATATGTGTTTTGATTTGTGACACAAAGAGCCCTTATTAAGTTAATGCAGTTTCAAAGATTGACTAATGAAGTGTATTTAGTATTCAGCGTCGAATATCAGTATTACAGACTGTTTGTGTCAAGATGTGTTACATATCATGTGATAGAGCATTTAATGACTTTCACAAATGTGTGTTGATTTGTGACACAAAAGTCCCTAATATGTTATTGTTAATGCAGTTTCAAAGATTGACTGCTGAGCTGTGCTTAGTGTTGGAAGTCAGCGCTATAGACTCTTTGTGTCAAAAAGTGTTTATATGTCACGGAATAGAGCATTTAATTACCTTGTCCAAATCTTGAGAGGTTACATATACACTATCTTTGACGATGCATAAAAAAGTTTTAAAACAGAATAGTATGCTGAAAGTTACTGATAAAAACACATTTTTCTATGATATTTTAGAGGATCAGCCAGTTAAGTATTATATTATGTTTTTAGCTTCATTCTAAGTGTTGTTTTTAGGAGTTTACTATTCCACTTTTTACTTATTATATGGAAAGTTTTTAATGCATTTGGTGTGCTTCCGAACGCTTTTCTACCATTTAGCGGAACTAAGCATTTCATGTTTTACTTAGTGCTTGTAGCTAGGGCAAACATTGTGTCAGAGATACCATAACAACTCAAATTTAAAAAAATTCTGAAATATAAGGGGTTTTTACTTCTTACTGAAGGCCAAAGGTAGGCAGGGACAACGTTGAAATATAAATGACTATGTTGTCTGTATAATTTTGACCATAGGTATAGCTGCATAAGCTTCAACAAATAATCAAAAAATATTACATTAAAATTTTAAATACTGCTTATTTAAAATTAAAGATATACCAGGGAGTCCTTTGTGAAAACTCGGAAGGTTTTCTTGTACAAGCAACAGTAATTGATAACACCAGATTCTTTCTATCTGTGCTGTGAATCCATAATGAAATAAACCTCAATCTTTTAATTTGAATTTCCAATTCGTGGCTTCCTCATTTTATGTAAAGGATAATTGTCTAACAGTGTGTGCATGGAATTGATTGCAACTGGACAATAAGCCAATGAACTATAGCATTTCATATTGATGACAGTAGTAACAATAGTGTATTACTCACTTTTTACCATAAACAAATGGTCCTATCACCAACTGATTTTGCAAAAAGCAACAAATTGAAGTTGTGTTTTAACTGATCATTAGTGTTGGAAATCAGTTCTTATTAACATACCTGAAACATACTAATTT